TTGTTGTTGTTTCTTTGTCTTCCTGAATTCCAAAAATAATGTGAGTTCATTGCAGAAAATTTGAAAAATGTGATAAAACTAAGTAGAAAAATAAAAATAGAAGATAATCTCAACACTAATGATATTATTTGATTTATGTCAATCAAGTAACATTAATATTATTTATGTGTAGAAAAACAAGTACTATATTTTAAAGTATATTATTATAGATTTAAAAAATGTGCACACATATGTACTTGTATATGTAATATGTATGTGTGTATACAGAGAAACAGATAATTTGTTTACCTACCTTTTGGCACTCAACATTAATCATTTTCTCATGTGATTCACTACTCTTTTATAACATCTTACCCACTTTTTTTGGTGCTGCAGATGGCACCCATGGCCTTGCTCATGCTAAGTGTGCACTCTACCACTGAGCTACAATCCCAGGCCCCCATAATATACTTTTTAAAATTTTTGTATGATAATCTACATATGGACTTACTATATTTAATCAGTTTTTAAATTTGTCAGCTGAACTGTGTCTGTTTTGTTGTTATAATAATTGTTATGATAGCATTTAATTATGTTGATATAGATAAATATCTTCATAGGTAAATCATGGAGGTATACATAAAGTATTTCCTGTACATTTCCTTATGTTGAATTTTTTGCTTCTAAAGTGCCATTTTAAAAACCTACTGTCTTTTATTGCAACAACCTCTGTAAAAATTAAACTCTCAGACTTCACCATTAGATTCAGAGACCCATAGAATGCTAAAGTTGGACTGAATTTTGACATAGTAATCCATAATGCTTGTATTTTACAAATAAAAAAATTGATTATTTGAATTGAAGTGAGGTTCATAAGTTTATGCAGACAGAGAATAAGTAAGGACAATAAAGTATATTTCTCAACAAAAACATTTTATTAAATATATTGGATTATATCCTGTTCCATCTGAGTAGGTGGGGTTGAAAATGATCCCATATATTTTTCCAGTCAAAATTTATGACCAAAGTATTATCAGAGAGAATCTATGAAGATAAACTGAGATGGGAAAATTATTTGTATGAAGTAGATTATTAGCTTATGTACTGCAAGTTACTATTCCCAAGGCTTCTCTGCACATGGTAGTTCTCAGTGTTTCTAAAGAGTCTGCTGACTTTTGGGGAGTTCAATGATTTGTTCTCAGGAGGAATTTTAACTGCTCTGATTCAGTCCAGGATGAGGCCTCTTGTAAAATCTTCATGTTTTTCTTAACAATTCAATAAAATTTAAATTGTCACAGACACAAACTGCAGAACTTATCAATAAAGTAAATAGAGAATACCCAAGAAGAAACAGAATAGAATGCAGGGCATGGGATGACAGCATGTTGAATAAACTTACCACCTTTTTCACAGTTGAATGCTTAAGGTGATTCTTGCTCAACTTATATAAATAGAAAATATAGGAGATTTTTCTCAAGAGCAGATGAAGAGGCTCAAGTTTATTCATGCAGAAGAGACATATGATTGACAGACCATCCAAGTGAATTCCCAGTCATATTAAATAGTATTACATGTGTCAGAAATATTATAAGTACATTACATATATTATTCCATGGAAACATACCAACAATGCTATAAGGTAGGTACTATTATTCCTACTTTACAGTAAACTGAGGCTTAGAGAATGTTAAATAATTTGTCAAACATACATAGCCTGGCCAGTGGTAGGTTTAGGCCTTAAACCCAAGTCTGATCAACTTCAAAACCATCAACCAGATCTCCACCATGTTTTCACTGTCATGCTTAACCCTAGATAGGCTTTTATTGAAGTTCCACTTGAATCCGTGGATAGAACCCACCTGCATGCAGTTAACAGGATCCTACTGTCAACTAGGGTGGAAGTGCAGAACTCTAAGTCAGAATCATCCTAGTAGCTGAGGCTAGGATTTGTCTTATATTAGCGGTTCTCAAATTTAAGCATGCATCAGAGTCCCTGATGAACCAGGAAAATATAGCATTTCTGATTGGGCATCTCTAGGCAGGGCCCAAGAATTAATTTTTCTTTCAACTTCTCAGGTGATACTGCTGACTCTGGTCTGGAGACCACATTTGAGAACTGCTGCTCTGGAGCCACAGCCTAGGTCAGCCTGCTGCTCCAAGCAGAATGATCTGTCTTTGGAAATTGAGATTTGTGTGAAAAAGGTCAGCAGGTCATTGCAAAGACAGAATTAATCCACTCTGAGATCTTGAATTACATTTCACAATATCCATAGGTTGGCAATCTGCTCCAAATAACTAAACTTTCAGGGGGACTATGGAACTCCCCAGGATTTTTAGTTCAATAAGCACCATATATCTCTTCCCTCTGGGGAGATGGCTGACTATCCCACCAAAAACAAAGGTCTAAAATAAAAATAAATCATTCCTAATCCCTTGACTACGATGGACCTTCTCCTAAATCTAAATGAGTTCTTCTGTGCTTCCAACAATCGTGGCAGGGATGAATAGCCATTAGGGAGTTCATTATGCTTTTCTCATTTTATTATCTCAGGTTTCAAGAAAACTTGTTCCACCACCCTCAGCATCATTTATCTTTAAGGTTTTTTTTTTTTTTTTTTTTTTTTTTTCTATTTTAGAGGCCATTGAATAAATTAATTTATATTTATTGAAGTATTGCTTTAATATTTTAAAATATAATTTCATGTTTCAAACATTGAATTTATATGTATATATGTGGGTTTTTTTGGCCTTCTAATGTATATTTAATTTTTGGAATTGGGTTTTCTGTGTTTAATACATAAAGTGTTAAATTTAAATTCTGATATGTTCACAGAGAAGGAATTTTTTAATAACTGTAATTTTTAATCAATAACAGATTTTAGATGAGAAAGGGATCTTAGAAATTACATAGTTCCGAGGTTGGTAAACTTTCTTTCTGCAAAGAATCAAAAAGGAAGTGTTTTACCTTTTGAAAGCTATGTAGTTTCTGTTGCAACCAATCAACTCTATTGTTTCAATTGAAAGTGGGCACAGACAACGTATGGATGGATGAATATAGCTGTGTTACAATAAAAATTATTTATAAAAACAGGTGGCAGTCCAGATTAGGTTCATAGACCACAGCATGCCAACATCCCCATCTAGTTCATTTTATTAATTTATCTTTATGGAAACTAAGGCCTAAAGTGACTGGCCCAGCTCACTTGGCTAGGAAATACTGGGGCAAAGTCTAATACTCGGGTAATAGACTTGTTCCACAAGACCACTTGGAGCACAGAGCCACCCTGAATCCTTTCTTCATCAGGTCAATTTAGATATCAAGGTTTTATTCCTCCAGCTGTTTCTGCTACAAACAATATGAGGCCAGGGATACCCAGGGTGTCCTAAATACATTTTGGTCAACTTGTTATGAAATATTTAATCTGAAATGACCTTCAAGAGGTTTATGTGTTTGTGAGAGAGGAAAGAAAACAACCCCTCAAAAAGTTGAGTCTTCCCATGTTCAGTAGATAAGCAGGCTGTATCATGACACCATTCTAAGGAGGACAAAGTTGAAGATTTAATTTTGAGATGAAACAGAGAAATGCTCTGAGGCTACAGATGGCACTGGCCACTTGATTAAGCATTTTTCAAATGTATTGTGTGGTCACACAGGACCCTAGAAGAGTATAGATGATCCAAAGCAGAGTGCTCCCACAAAAGGACTGATTCTCCTGTTAAGCAGCAGTTCATTTTTATTTTTGAAGGGAAACGTTTCTTTTCATTGTTAATTTTAGAACAAAAACCATCAACCAAATCATTTGCATCCTGCAGACATTATGCTTCTAGGAAACAAGCTAACTAGGTTAAATACTTCACATGTATCTTGATTGAATTTATGCTGAAATTATCCAGGTCATCTTTGTCCTATTCAATATTTATTGTTCTATTATTATCATATCATCATTTAATTTTGAGACTTAACCATTTTTTTTTTTGACCAGGGATTGAACTCAGGGCCACTTGACCACTGAGCCACATCACCATTTTGTATTTTATTTAGAGACAGGGTCTCACTGAGTTGCTTAGCGCCTGGCTTTTGCTGAGGCTAGCTTTGAACTTTCAATCCTCCTGAGACTTAACCATTCTTATGATGACACACTGGCTATTTATTTCCTAAATCTGTTACAAGGCAGATAACTTATACCTTTCAATTGAATAGGAAAAATGCTGCTGCCTTTGGGGGAAGTAGATGAAATTGAGGTTTGGCTTTAGGAGCACTTGAAATTTGAGGGTAATTTTGTTGGGATCCCAAGTCAGAGATCTATTTTCTCTTCTTGCCAGTATGTTCTTGAGTTCTTGGGAAAAAATTACAGATATTCTCTCAGGTTGTGTGCTCTTGCACATGTGGGTGTGCGCGTGTGCTAGGGAGGGAGTTATCACAGGGATGTGTATGGACTAATGCACGTCTGCAGATTTAGAATCTGGGGCACTGCTAGAGTCCTTTCATTCTGTAACAGTCCCCTCTCTGAAGGTCTTTTTGGCCCTCTCACTTTATATTGACTGCTCTCCTACTCTCTTGCTACCAATTAGTCTCCTAATTCTCTATCTCAAATTAAATAGGAGATAGTTTCATTGCTGTTTTTAATTAGCACTAACTGCATTGATAGACACTTTCCTGCTGGGATGCCTCATCTGTCACCAGGAAGTCCTTGGATATGCTACTCTCCTGGAGGTACCCACTTTGGTCCTGGTGGTGATTCCTAGACACAGTGAACCTCCTGGTGCTGCTGCCCTGCGATGAGAGATAGGATTATATAGGATATAAAGACCATACACTGAGTTCAGTAAATTCTTGAACTTCTTATTCTTTTTCTGCATTTTTTTAAAAAATTGTAAAATTAATTCAAATTTTTGTTAAAGAATTTGTTAGATACATGAAACTGAAAAAAGAAAATAAAAATCATAGTCCATCATCCTCCTATAAACTACTAATATTTCACTAATTACTTTCCAGTTTCTTCTCTATTTGCAGTTTCATATAGAGTTTATTAAAAGTAATGAACATATAATAGTATATGTTTTTGTTTAACATTCCAGCATAGTTTTCATTCATGTATAAATATTGTTTACAATGATTGTAATTAACTGCATCAAAATATCATAGTACAGACATATGGTGTTCACTCAGGCAATGTTGGACACTTAAATGGTTTCATCATTCCTTGTTAAAATTATCAGCATTTATAAGACAGATTCCCAGAAGTAGACTTACAGGGTCCAAGCAAATCAGATTTTTCAAGCTTTTAATGTGTGTGATAAAACCATTTTTCTAAAAATTTGCTACAGTTTTGAGTTCTACCAGCAGGGTATAAGAGCACATATGACCATACTTTTGTAGGGCTGAGAGCCTTTTAAAATCAATCTCACTGTGTTAAAAAGGTTACTTTGCTATTATTTTACGTATTCCACTGATTGTTCTGTAGTTGTCACTGAGGGAAGGTAGTTGAGAGCTTAGTTGTGCCTATGCACAACCTTGCTGTTTGATTTTCACCATTTGAAATGCTAATCCCATGAACACCTGTGTCTCCTCTAGCCTTCCTACACCGAATTTGACATCAGTGGCAACGTCCTGGCTCTGATCTTCAACCAAGGCATGATCTGGTAGGCCGGTTTTTAGACAGCTAATTACTTATAGAAAAACTTCAAGGTCAGATTGCAGAAAGCACTGGAGCTTGGAGTCAGAAGAGACTGTGATCCTTGGCTTCTAATTTACCGTTTGCCCTTGAAAAGTGGATACTGTGATAGTTAATTTTTTTTCCATATTTTAAGTCTTGTTCTCTAGGCATTTTCTTATTTTGCAGAGTGTTCTTTCATCAGATGATCGGAGTCTATATTCTGGTTGATAGATTTATTTGAAGATTATTTTTTTATATCCTCTGACACCAGGATCTAATAATGAAAAACATTAATGATCATATCATCACCAGTTAAATATGAAATAAATGAACATAAGTTCTTTTTGAGAAACTGATTTAATTTTCTTTTCACTGCTAAATATATTTAAAATACATCTTAGAGCTATTTTTAAAAGATAATATCTTATTGAGCCCAATAGTTTATAGAGAAGAAACACATGTTTTATTAAGGTCAAGTTAAAAATATGATCTTCATTTTTTAACTTGCTTTATAGGGCTAGTCACACATTGGAATTGTTTTGAGTATCATCTCTCTCTTTTTTTAAATATTATTATATTTTTTGGACACAAAATACCCTTATTTTAATGTGGTGCTGAGGATCAAACCCAGTGCCTCTCATATGCTAGGCAAACACTCTACCAAATGAGTTACAACCCCAACCCCTGGAATTGTTTTGATATGAAATGGATTGTCATATCTTTTATAAAATGGAAGAATTTTCACTATAAACTCTGACAGGTTATGATAAGTTGATATAGCAGAAACCATTTTTGAGTTTAAAAATTGAATCACAGCATGCAATTCATCTAGGGACCAGGTGTCTTGGAAATCTGTCACTCTTAACTAAAAACCCAAAAGCAGTTGCAATTGAGCTACTTTATCCTGTGAATGTGTGATTTACAATATTGTTATCCCAACCACACCATTGTCTAATCACTTGTGCCAGGATAGTTGCATTTTTTTGTACAAGCTTCATATATTACTCAAATCCTTCAATCGTAGTGGCTGTCCTAAATTGTTAAATCTTCGTGTGCTGATGGAGACTGAACTCCTTTGCAAATCTTAAAACCATCTCATTTCAGTAACATAAAGACTGGCTTCATGGGCTCTAGAGTCCTGCCATGGTGTCTGTCAAATTCCTGTGCCTCTCTAGGTGAATCAATATGAAAAAATACTATTAAGAGATTACTTTCTCTGTTGTCAGATATGTTTTAAAAATGCAATTCCTGTCCCCTCACTTTCCAAATTTTGCAAGTATGGCTCACATATCCAGAGAGTCATTTAACAGGGGAAGTCATCCTTTATTCTCCAAGCAGGGAGGAAGGTCAAGGGGACCTATGGAATATTGATTGACAGACACAGTAAGAGGAGCAGCTCTGATGGGTTCTGATCTTTTCCTTCCTGGAAAGGAATCTGCTGTCATGGGAGAAAATGACAAATTCAGCTATAGGTGTAATGAGAAACCACTGCATCCTACCAGTGGCTTTCATGCAAAGTAATAAATCCCTTTGGCCTAGTGGGTGCCATTGGTGCAAACATATGCCACATGCCTGTTGTGTTTTTTCAGAGTTTAGATAACAAATAGGCCTAGAAATTCAATTTTCTCACCAGAAAAGCTATTGTAATTGCTGCCCTAATTTATTTTACTTACAATTTTGCAGCTATTTTGTCTGCTATTGTTTGTATTGAAATTATGAAAAATGTAAAAAAATTTTCCAGTTTTTTTCATGGGCAGACCCATTATCAAAATTTCTATATTATCACTGTACTATTGCTTTCTGAATATTCACTCCTGGGGCATTGGTCAAGCTTGCTTATGATTAGCTTGATAAGGACTTTAGAAAATGATTGTGTTTTGTGAGTATACAAAAATAATCACTTTCAGAGTTCCAGAAGCAAAGTAACTTTTGTTCTATCATTCATCTTCAGGTCAGTACTTTGCACAAATACTCTTCTCTACTCTCAGGAGGGTAGTGAAGAGTGGGGATGTGGTGTGGCAGGGAGATGTGGAGGGCTCAGCGTAAGATTGGTAGGCTCACTCTGTGCAAGAGTCTCCGCACATTGTACTTCCATTAATTCATGAGCCATGAGGATGTGACATCTGAGTTTAGCCATTTTTAACAGAAATAAAAGAAGTGTGAGGAGTTTGTATTCAATTCCATTGGCTTGTGACATTCAATTACTGCTATAGAGGTTGCTGAATTGTGAAGGTTGCTTAAATAGATGTTATGAAAGTTAAGAGTTATAGGTAAAATCCATGTTGTTATAATTTGGCTGATGATCAGTAAACTTTTTTAAAAATAGAGATTGTGAGTGTTTGCAAAAAGATGTTTAAATGATGAAAGCACACAATATCTTTATCATGGCAGGAGGTAGACAGGTAGCAGAGAACAACAATGAGAGAGATGATGAGTTTTGGACATTTCTTTAACACTGTCCCATTGGGTACTCTCCCTCCCATCTCTCCCCCACTCCCCTCCTTTTCTCAGTTGATCAGATGTGAATAATTTACCTGACATGTACATGTCACTGGAGTAATAATGAGAGCTAAATAAAAGAAGCTTTCATTTGCTTTGATCTTCTTGGAAGAAAGGCATTTTATAAGGATAAGATATTACAATGATTTTTAACTGACAGATGACGGGATCAGGTCTGGGTAAGGGACTTAGTGAGCTGAGCTGATTAGTGAGTCATGAACAAAGATGGGATGAGCATTAAGATTCAGACATCATCGTGCTGGGACCTGTTTTTCTAGGTTATGACTCTTGAGTCATTTGCTCATGATGACTATGTAATACTTATTTTGTAATTTGTTTGTCTGTAAATACACATGTATATGTGTGTACGTATAGATACATATAGACAAATACTGCACATAGATACAAAGATGTGGTTTTAGGAAACTCTGGGGTTTGAATTATGTGCAGAATTTTGTTTTAGATTCAATTAGGCTTACAGCAATGAAACACAATCCTCAAATGTTAGCATCTTATTAAAAAGACCTGTGCAGTGTATGGTGGGGCATAGCTCTGATCTTACACCTCTCCTTCACCTTAGAGACATGGATGGATGGAATAAGATCCATCTGGATCATTGCTAGTCACAGTAGCAGGGAAAGAAGAGAACAAATCCCATATAGGGCTGTTAAAGTTTTCACTCGGCAGGGAGCATCTCATTTCTATTCTTATTTTGTTGGTCAGCACAAGCCACATGATCAAATCTGACTTTCAGAATGAGGTGAGCACAATTCTCCATCCTTTATTGTATCACAGTTCTCAGCATGTATGGATATAGCCTAGAACTTTGCAGTTCTGACCCATTCGCTAGGACTATCACTAACTTGATCTTTTGTTGTTTTGTTTTAACTTCTCTCTTGATGTTTTACAACAAAGGTACATTGGGTTATTTTAAATTCTATCCATCTGTGAAAAAAATAACTTCCCACATATTTGGTTCATTTGCTACGACAAATATCATTGAGATTTGTTATCTGGAATCTTACCAACAAGATAATCCAGATTGTGGCAAGAAGCCACTTTTCAAGGAATGAGTTAACTTTGGGTTGACATATGTTCAATTATATCAGAAGCTATTTTTTTTTCACTTAATTGAAAAATGTCTATAATATACCAGATTTATATTACATTGGTTAAACAACTACTCCATGCATTCAGGGAGTATAAAATGTTAAACCTAACCAGAAATGCTGAAGACTTTATTATAGTTGGGACAGTTTAAAAAATAGGGCTCCACTTACATGTATAAAACAAGTACACATGTATCTTCTTTTAATTTTGGTCTAATAAATTGTTATTCATATTACTTTATTGGGTTAATAGATTTTCTCATCAAAGAAAATTGAAATATTTTTGTTGAAACAATCAACTAAGCTGTCAAGTAAAAGTAACCTCACTTTCACTAGTTTCTTTTTTAAAATGGTATTTTACCATACTTTTTAAAAGTCAGATGCACAAAGCAATGGATTTCTAGAGCAAACTACAGTAAGAAAGTTAGCAGGTAAATTAAATTTAAATGGATGTGTGGAATTTTCATCTCCAAAACACATAAATCAAGATATAAATCATCAAGAAAATATAGTATAATATTTAATATAAATACATCTTTTCATCAACTCTAAAACACCAGAACAGCTAGAAAGAGAAAATGGTATCAGAAAAAGGAAAAATAATCATTTTAATTTTTTTCACTTTCACTAAGCAAAAGTTAGCTACCGGTGCATGTAAACATGGCTAATTACAAATCTACAATTTATCTGAATATCATAAGTTATTTTAGGGGACAATTGTAAAAAGTTATATTTTATATATATTAATGATATGAATATTAGGGGAAATCAAGTTTATTTAAAATTAGAAGAAATAAAACAATTGTAATACATGTTTTACTCTTATAGTTTACATTCATCAATGATAACAGATATAGGCAGTTTATAGCATAATTTCCATGAAAGAATTGTATACACAATACCTTCAGTGATGGGGGAAGTGGAAAACTGTGTGTAGAAGATGGAAATAGATGAGTCTGATTTATTATAAGAAGATTTTGTGTGGATGAATATGATAGTACATTGTTTGCCTATAAAAAGAGGCATGATGTAAAAGAAGCAGGTGCTGTGTGACTTTATTATGGAGTGGAGAATCCAAATTAAGCAGTGCTCTGTTTTCTTTCTAGGATGGGCTCCTTCTTCGCTCCCAGCCTCCCGGGCATCAATATCCTTCGACTCCACACATCTATGTACTTCCAGTGCTGGGCCGTGATGTGCTGCAATGTTCCTGAAGCCAGGGTTTTCAAAGCTTCCAGATCAAATAATTTCTACCTGGGCATGCTTTTGCTCATCCTCTTCCTGTCCACCATGCCGGTCCTGTACATGATCGTATCTCTCCCACCATCTTTTGATTGTGGTCCCTTCAGGTCTCTGGTCTTTGAAATTTGACTTGGACATAGTATTCTTCCAAGGGTAGAAAGGGGAATGGTCACACATTTTATAAATTAGGTTTTTTCCCCCCAAACAATGGCATTTTGTGTTGGTAGAAATGATATCCTTTAGATATTCACCATCATTATGGGACCTGGAAAGACTTAGGCAAGTCTATTTATTTTCTCATTCAGGAATCATAAAGGGGGAAATTATTTTTGTTACTGTAGGCTCTGCCTGGTAAATTATAAACTATGTACCTGAGCTGTTTCCATATTAGGGGATAGCTAAGAAAAGGTTTGATTAGTCTGAATGTGAGATTTGCTGATGCTTGACCACCATATCCAGACATAGTCCACCATTGCTTCCTCTCATGTGGATCAACCCACACCAGGATGGGGCATGGAGGTTGCCCACATGTTATATAAGAGGTGGAATCAGTGAACAACAATAGTGACTGTTAATGAGGGTCACACAATTTATGATTCAGAATTCAACATGTAAGCAAAAAGGATTAGTAAGTCATCAGTCAAGAGTCAAGAAGATTCTTTGATCCAAGTTAAAGCTATACTTTCTACAGTCCTCTAGAGCCAAGTTATTGTTCTGACATATATTGGAAAGCAAAGTTCCTGGGATCTAGAGGATAGGATTTTATTCTTTAAGTGTTCTTAGAAATGAATCTACCACAGGTCCCTCCAAGAATTTCTACATGTGGAGTTACTGACCAGCATGCATTTGAAGGGAAGGAAATGAGAATATAAAAACACGAGTGACAAGCACAATGCTGTAAAGGCCACTTTAATTTCCCTCCATGCTGTCAGACCCACATTATTTTATTAAAGTCAAAATGCTCATCATCCACAGATTTTGTACAATGAGATATTTTTCACTCTGATAATACACTGAGTTATTGCTTTACTGGAAAAGAAAGAAAATGTTAAGCCAAAGAATATATCAAAACTAGTGGGTGTTCTGTTAAACTCAGGAAACTGATGTCCACAAGCCCCATTCTCTCTCTCTCTCTCTCTCTCTCTCTCTCTCTCTCTCTCTCTCTCTGTGTGTGTGTTTCCAAGTGGGCTGAAATAAATAATGCAGAGAGTGACATCTGGAGACTATATATGAAATTACAGTCTTAAAGGAGACATTTATCTTAATAAATCCTTAATAAATCTCAGAGTACAAAGTTCAAGAAATGATATTCAGAGTCTTCAGTTAATCGCAAATTACCTGCACAACTTAATATCAGGGTAAATTTTAAGGCTACGTGTTTTTAATTGGCAGTTGATCTTTCTCAGTAAAACATATAACAAAGGACCTTAGTGTTTCATAAAGGAAACCAAGGATGTAAACAAAACTGCTGGTTACACAGGTCTATTCAGATTTAAAATACCATTGAGTCAGAGCGCAATTGCAAAATGTTAGCCTGTAAGCTTTGATCTCTCTAGCTTTCCTTATGTCAAACACTTGAGTTACTCTGATTTTTGCCAGGGTGTGGGGGATGGGGGTTGAGGAGTGTGGGTGTGTGGAATTTACAGTGAAGCAGGGTATCTGACTTTGACCAAGACTTTCTTGATTAGCACATTTAGGTAAATTGCTTGGTAAATAGCACTATGTTGAGGTCAAGAAAAATTAAATATTTTCATAAGAGGACTGGGAAAGGGGTATGTCTATATTGCTTAGCTTATTTGCCTGTTGGTTTCCTTCTTTTGGAGAAAAAAAAAAGAAGTTTACTTTGCTTCTTTGCTCTACCAGTTTGACAGGTTTGTTGTGTTCCTCAAGGCTTGCTGTCCTTAGGAACTCTGAGTTGGGAGTGTCTGCCTCCCCTGCTTAGTGAAAGCTGCTTGAGCCCATCTAGCTCCTGGGTGGGCAACAAGGTGGCAGACATGACTGTGAGGCAGGCTAATGTAGTGGTTACCCTGATAAACAGCTGCTGTCCGGTACAGATGAGTTTTCAGGGCTATCTTCCTCTTTCCATTCCTCAAAGCAATTTGATGAGATATTCTGGCATATTCTGATTTTGTAAGACCTAACCACAGAAGATGATTTTTGTAGAAAATTGTTTCAATAGACTGAGTAGATTTCCCTTAAGTTGTTGGCCAGCTTAGAAATGATTTCTTTGATGTTCAAGACAATTCCTCAAATTGTTCCATCTTGTTTTCCAACACTTCCCCCACACAGCTGTGTCAATAATTCTGAACAATTTGTCATCCTTTAGGTTATCACATGCCTCCTCACTTATGTTTTGGCAACTTTTTAAATGTATTTCAATCTTACTGTAAAAGTAATGACATATATTTATCCTAGAGAACCTGGAAATTGTAGAAACATTTTAACATTGAAACAAACAAGTTCCATAACCCAAAGACCTGAAATAATGACTCAACATTCTGGCATTTTATATTCATGTTTTCCTTTTATGAAAAATTCTTAAGATAACTGAGGTCCTACTAGTGTATGTACAGGTTTATGTAGATCTTTAACAGTAACATTATGCTGTGACACTGCTATTATGTCTCACTCATTTGCAATTAGACTTTATGTGACTTATCTATGATATGTGAAGCAAAAAAAAAAAAAAAAAAAAAAAAACCGCTTAATAGTCCAATGACTCCTGACAAAATACTTGGAGTCACTTTGTTGAATGACAATATTTGTTGAATTCAGAGAAAATAATATCTGATTTGGGACTGGGGGTTGTGTATATTGAGTAGTTGAAAATGTTTAGAGTAGAAAACAAAAAGAAGACAAAACATATTGAAATGTTACACCAGCCTTTAATCTGAGGATCCATACAATTTGTTGAAATACAAAAAAATACTTTTTGAGGAGTGAAAGTTTTTATTATAGGATCAATATGAATATATAGAAAAAACTAACCTGACATTATTAATATTCTATTGCACTTTTAAATATTCTATATTGTTAAAACTCCCTGATTTCATTGTGCTAGTTGATAGCAGCTGATTTTCCTGTCAACTACATATGTCTTAGCTGGTATTCTTGAGGGGCTGTCCAGCAAAGGAAACCCTGAGAAGAAAAGGGAGCCACTTTCAGTGGGGTTACCTGTTAGCATTTCTGATGAAGGCGGTCTGGTGGTAAATGAGGTGGAAGCTACTGCATGGAAAGAGATATTGGATTATTTGTGGTTTTATTCCACTAAACTATTACTTGTGCTCATTTTCAAAGCTAATTAAAAATTAAGTGCTCTCTGCACTCAGCTCAAAGAGAGTCTTCTTTAGCAAGAACAGCAAGCAGAAGAGCAGACTTAGGAGCTGCATACAAAATATATTTCAATCAAAATCTGTCAGTGTTAAATTTTTTTCTTTCCATGTTGTGGCTAATTTCCTAACTGCTGTGACTCTGTGTGTGTGTGTGTGTGTGTGTGTGTCTGTGTGTGTTGGGATAACATTTCTTGTAACTTTTTTAACATGTTGGCAAGATGAGGTTGAAGTATTTGTGAGCTAGAGCTAAACATCGGATTCCTAACCTGAAATCTAGGCGATATTTGAGAAATATTTCTAGTTTTCTTGCTGTAACCATAATTTCTTCAATTGTTTCACACAAACGTCTTTCTTTCTTTCCTCCTAGTGGCAAAAACAGGATGTTCGAAGTCATTGGTGAGACCCTGGAGAATGATTTCCCAAGCTGGATGGCAAAGATTTTGAGACAGCTTTCCAACCCTGGACTGGTCATTGCTGTTGTTCTAGTGATGGGGTATGTGCTTCCCCTTCTCAGAGAAAGAGCCTTTGTAATTTGTTTCCCGACTCCTTTTCAGTTTCAGCCATTTTCAGCTTCTTCCCTTTCCCAAGGGTTTGCGCTAACCTAACCAAATTCAGCTCTGAAAACATGTTGGTGGAAGCCGAAATTCATGAGCCATATTCTGATCCTGTTGGATGTAATTCACAGCCATCTGCATCTGTCTTTGCCTCCCCAGGATTATAAGATTTGTTCCCAAGTAACAAAAATAATTATCAGTAAACAGCTAAAGCAAGGGAAACATAAATGCTAAATGCTAAATCTAATCAGCACATTGAGCTTCCCCCTGCAACACAGCCCCCGCCTCTTGTTCCATAAAGCAGATGGTTGTGAATATACAGAAATGATCAGCCTCTAAGTCGATATTCCCCTTGAGGGCCCTACAGGCTGTATTTTAGGGCTAATGGCTCAAGGGGTCTTAAAAATCGCCCTGTCCTTGTTATTAGAGGGCTGTTAAAAACTGTGTCCATAATAGCACAATCAGAGAAAGGTCTTAGAAACATCTTTTTCCTCTACCCCTTTTAAAGTCAAAAGTGATTTCCAAAAGGGAACTTGGTAGGAGACTTTCATTTCCATGTAGCTTTCATTGACTGCTGACTCTTGGCCACAGGAGATAAACTTATATAATCCAAGTAAAAATATGGGCTTGCTATGGAAGAGCCAAAAAAAAAAAAAGCGCCCTTCCTTTCAAAACCCTGCCCTCCAGAAAGAGAAAGTCTGGAACTGCCTGTGCTTTCAGCCAAGGAGGTCAAGCGTTCCCCATCTCCAGGACACTTGGATTGGATTTTTGGGGTTTTTCTTTTTTAAGATAAAGGTGAAATGAGATATCTGAGGCAGAACACTCACACTGATGTGAAATAAATAAGCTGGGATGCTGAACCTGTTATCACCATCCTGGGTAGGTTGTGACGGCAGGGGTCACCTTCAGTGTGTAAGTTAAACTGACCCAGGAATAAATGAGAAAGATCAACATGGTACTAGACCCTTTTATAGTAAATCCTATACTCATGCCTTTACATTACATGATGATGCCTTTTATGAGGGAAAGCTAATAACCCATAAGGATAATTAAACAGTAAAGCAGATTACTCTTATATATTACAGAACCTTGATCATGAGGTGGTATTAAGAATGTGATAGTAAATCTCTGGCACAGATTTGTTAGAAAATGACCTGCTGAATGCAGTATCTTTCACTAGATGGCCCTTGGAGTGATTTTCTTTCTCTACATTTTCATGATATAGTGGCTTCTGAGAGCACATTAAAAAGTATCCTGTGGCCTTTGATAGTCAAGGTCCTTTATTGATATAAATAAAATCTTACACAACACACACACCAGAAAAGTTAGATTTTGTTGCAGTGTTCTTAATTTATTGAGAGACAGATTTGTTTTTAAGCAAAGGAGCAACATCATTTGAATGCAATATCTGAAGATCTAATAAAACTGTCTTAAGAGATGGAAAGATAATTAATGCTGCTGCTGTTCTAGACACTAACCATAGATGACTCATTGAATTTCCACAATAACTTAAGACTTTGGTTTCATTCATCATATTATCAGATATATTTCCAAATATTTCCATATTTGGAAGATCCCCAAATCAAGTGACTAGTAAGTGAACTTAAAGCTCATGTCTTCTCACTCCTACTTTTTAATCCCTCCACTTCACTCATTCACTCCACCAAGGAGAGCATGGGATCCCTGGAACTGTCAGAATGTAGGGAAGCACACTTTAGGCATGGTTTAGATGCAGCATATGTGTCTTTTAAAGGGCCAAATAGCAGCTATTTTGAACAAGGCAAAATTGAGGACCTTATAGAAATACTTGTATAAATACTTAAGATGTACAAACCATTCGTTAGTTAGTTCATTGCCATAGAAAACAGTCTGGGAGCCAGATTTGACCTGGAGGCCTTAGTTTACCCACCCTTGATACAGACAGCCCAGATGAAAACTGCCCATGTATGAGAGTCAAAAAGATGTTCAGAAACACTGATTTTAGCTCTGAGGTTCTGATTTAAAACCCAAATTTCAGTTTATTACTGATTTTATTTTTTCAGGTCCTGAGGTCTCTTTATTTTATAAGCCTTGTGCAATTGTCTTGGCTTTTTATTACCTTTAATTAGAGAATGTTACAGTCTTTTTAAATTTCCCCAGTGGACCATATTAAATCCACTTGGATGGTGTTTGGGTATCTGAGCAGAGTTCAGGTTGCTTTTCTCTGGGCAGTGTCATTCCCTTGGAGCACAGGAAGTGATTTGTTAGGAATACTCATAATGTGCATTCAGAGGCAGGAAAAAAATGATGGATAAATATATAATTCTGAATTGGAAATGATATGTGAAATTTTCAAGTTCACCCTTCAAATCCAGTAACTTAGTTCTAAGTCTCTCTCTCTCTCTCTCTCTCTCTCTCTCTCTCTCTCTCTCTCTCTCACACACACACACACACACACACACACACAATTTATTGAGCACCTATTTCATGCCAGATATTGTCTCAGATGCTTTCATGTGTGTAATTTCAGTCAAATTCCAGTTAATCATATAAGAAATAAACAAACCCCAACTAAACTATATCAATAATTGTGCTGCTAGCACCAGATGGCTCATAAAGGATATTATCTGGCATGTTCATGAGCAGAGGAAATGTGTTCAATATCCAGTTCTTTGCAACAAAGAGCAATATCAGCTTTTTTTTTTTAACTGCATTTTTTTCTTTGTTGTTTGTTCATTTTGTTTTAAGAGAAGATGAGCATATTTATTTTTGCAGAATTGTTGGGTTGAAATTTGCTCTTTCTAGAAATATAAATGTCATTTGAAATCCAGAATCACTCCTTTATAAAATGTTTTCTTTTTGAGGGAGAAAGAAATGAAAATAATTCATTCTGTGGAAAAAAAATCCATGTTAATTAACTATGCCTCTGAGGGTGATATTCTCTCTTAGTTGTAAAGGCCAAAGGAGGGAATTTAAGGCAGGATGTCATTTTACTTTTTATTTGACATATTCCCTAAGCTTCAGTAGATTTTCTATTTTTTTAGACATCATTACTATCAATTTAAACAGTTTTTAATTTTATTGTAAACTGATTTTAATACATTTCCAGGAAGAGGCTAATATTAGGCAGTGTGGAATAGTGAATAGGGTTCTGGCTGGTGGATTAGGAGCTTTTGGGCCCAAATTTCCAGCTTCAGCCTAGTCACTGTGTAAATCTGAGTGCACATCTTTACCTCTCTGGACCTCAATTTTTATCCACAAAATAAAAGATTTCTAGTAGCAAATATCTTCATGTTCACTCCAGCGCTGACATTCTATGATTTAGTTAATAAAAATTGAAGAAGCATCTTGAGGAACTAAAAAGGCCATCAATTTTATTGTTTTCTCATAATTTAGTTTGACCATCTATTATCTCAATGCCACTGCCAAGGGCCAGAAGGCAGCAAATCTGGAACTAAAAAAGAAGATGAAACTGGTAAGATACAATTTATTTCATTAAAAATATTGTCTTCATTTATATCAAGGAGTAAGAAACACCAGGAAATGTAATTTAATTTTCTTCTTTCCTTTTTTGTATTGTGCAGCAAGCTTTGGAAAACAAAATGCGAAACAAGAAGATGGCAGCCGCACGTGCAGGTTGGAGATGGGTTCTTGCTGGCGATTTTGTCTTAACTGACAGTCTTACATTTTGTTTTTACTCCAAATGAGGCATTCAATGGTGAATGGCATATTGCCCTGAGCCAGTTGTTCCACATCCTCACCTTCCATCTCTAGCTGTTCTCATGCATCACATCCCAGGATTTGGTTTGTTTTTTAATAGTGGGAAAAATTCAGGAATATAAATTTACCAGTAGTGATAAAATAAAAAGTGACCTACGAGTGACATATGATGAAAACAACCCTCTAGTTATATATAAAGAGTAAATATATCTCGTGTTCATTTTAACTATTTTTATATATAGAAAGACACTTTGGGAAAATCTCCAAAAGATCCTACTTTGAGCTAACCACCATTGATATCCAGATAGCTCTTATAGTCCTTTAAATGTTCTTTTAAAGCCTTCCTTAATTTTAAAAATACAGAGAGGCTTCCACATCTCCAGATTCAACCAATTGTCTGTTGAAACTACTTGGGAAAAAATTATGTCTGTATTGAACATATACAGACTTTTTCCTTGTGAGTTCCCTAAACAATACAGCATTACAATTATTCCCATAGCATTTACTTGGCATTAGATATGCTAAGTAACCTATAGATGATTTGAAGTATAGGCAGGGTGTATGTAGGTTATATGCAAATACTACATACAAAGGATTTGAGCATCCTTCCATTTTTGTATATGTGGGGGGTGTCTGGAACGAATCCCCTGCAGATACTGAGGGTTGACTATGTTGGAATAAAGCAGATTCCTATTTGCAAATATTTGTGATGTACCATGAGTCTCTCATGGAAAGGGGGACACCTAATAAATGTAGTGAAAGTCTTTTTCAACTTTTCCTTCATTTCTAATTTTAAAATTCTGTATTATTAGAACTTTTCCCCCATGTAAATAATTCAAAGAAACTCAAGTCAATTAGTTGCATTTAGAAAAGAGACATTTTAGTCCACACAAATGAGCAGAGGAGAGGAATGAATGGCTTCAGGCTACTTTTTTTTTTTTATTTTGTTTTTTAAATTTTTTATTGTTGGTTGTTCAAAACATTACATAGTTCTTGATATATCATATTTCACACTTTGATTCAAGTGGGTTATGAACTCCCATTTTTACCCCGTATACAAATTGCAGAATCACATCAGTTACACATCCATTGATTTACATATTGCCATACTAGTGTCTGTTGT